CATCCATCCCTAACTCCAGATACAAAAGAATAGTGGATGGTACTTTAATTATGCAAATTAATTATGAAAACTTTTTATGTGAGTTCTCCAATTGTATAGTGTCAATTCTGACCAGAAATCCTAGAACAGCTTGATTGACAGATAGGATTATCCACTATACCAGTGATTTACCTAGAATTAGAAAACTACAGTTTTGATATTACTAAGTTGAACACACATCTGTTTAAATTCATAACAAAATTCATTAAGTTTGCTTTTGGACTTACACATCAAAATGAATATTTTTGCATTATTCACTTGATAGAAATAACTCTCTCTGAGATATGAGAAGTCAGGTATTAACTTTGAACATATAGTTTGAAAGCTTTGTGAAGATTGAAAGGAAGTGCATAGTCATTTATTTAAGATACTCAAGAAAAATGTTTAATTCAAGGTACGGTTTCATACAGTACAAGGTTTGAACATGGCTGTAAATGTTTGCTGCAGGTGAAAACTGTAAAGGAAGAGCATGAATGCTTTATATTAGACCAAAAAACATATACACAAAACTATTCTGACAATTACCAGCAAGAGCTACATAAGGTATATTTGAAATTTTTTTTCTTGAAAATATAAATGATATTGTTAAATAAATATATAAGCAATTTATATCAAACAAAAAAGGATAAGCTTTCACTTGAGTTTCCCCTTCATGCTTCTACTGCTCACAAACTGAAAGAGTTTGCAGAATTGGAGATCGTTTGGTTATTGGCCAATGTAAGATAAGTGTAATCAAGTTTTCAAGGTTAGAAGGGCATTTACCTATACTATTTAAGAGGGGTACAAGTCTTCAGTCTATTTTTATATGACAGTTCTACATTCTATAAGTAAGGAGATTTGGCAATTTCAAAATCATATGGATTGGGATGTAGCAAGCCAGGTTTATTTACGGATTTTAGGGGTTCAATTATGTGTTTAGGGTTAATTTTAGATATCAAACCTTTAATTTTTTCTAATTCAAAACTCTACAATTAGTGAAGGAAGTTCCCAGATCTTCAGAAATAAATGGATGTATATAATTCAATGAAGAACTACTTCCAAAGTAGTAAATTTATGCCTTACTAAGATTGAAGGATATAATTAATTCCTTGGCAAGACACTTTGAGGAGTCTTTGGTGCTTATTTGTTAAAACTTTTCCATTTGTAACCCTTATGCTTCTTTTGAAAACTATTTACAAGACCTAGGGATCACAAATTTACTTATCTAGTTAAAACCCTAATGTTGCACCATTACCGTATTAGGTAAAGATTGCTTATTAGATTTCAGGCATAAATATCAACAAAATCGTTGTTCGCACTTGCTCCATAGGCTTGTTTTAACAATTTTCTTTTGGTCAACAAATTATCTCTAAAGTCCCCTGACTCAAGATCTCTCAATTTCTTCAAATTCAATTTTCTTTTCTTTTCTTCCAGCTCACTGGAGAAATTGGCCAATTGATGCTTTACGTTTTTCAATCACTATAAATGTGATTGTGTCAAATCGCGTTATCTTTTAAGGCTTCTGAGTTACCTTAGTATTTCTATATTTTGCATATATTCGTTGAGATTTTTGATTATCTGATCTATCCAGTTAGAGGTTCATTTCAAGCTTTTAAAACAACAAAGTTCTTCAAATCAGAATGGAAACCAAAGTTCTTTGGGATTAGTAATCTAATTGTGCTTCTCCAGTCATCCTATCATTCTTATCTCAAATCAGTTTCCTTCAAACTATAAATTACTCATACCCGCGTGTTTTTTCACTAATATTTTGATTTCTGTTCATTTTTTTGTTCTTTTATTATTTTTCTTTAACTCCCACAACAAAAACATCAATCTTCTGAAATGTCCCCCCCCCCCCCTTCCGGAAGTTCCCAAATGTTTACTGATTTCATATCTTATAATTTTCAACTTTGCTCTTTCATTTCATAATGCTTTAAAATATATATTTTTCATAATTTTTCCAATTAATATCTATTGCTAAATTCCGTTTACTACCACAGATGATTTGGAGATGACATCTCCACATATTCTACACTTGATTTCCTTTTCTTTCTCTCACCTGTACTAAGCTTAACTTCCTAAAGTTCAAACATTTAAAGACATCCCACCCTAAATTGCATTCTGGGACACGTTCAAATTTTGACATTACAAATTGTAATGGTCAATTTACTAATATTAGTTACACGATATACGAACATCAGAAAGAGTTTCATTATTTGTTCATTACTTATTATTTGTTCATTACATTGTATTACATCCTTTAGCCGTTGGAGTTTTCACTCTTCTGTTTCCAGATCTTTATTTTGTTTTGCTCCAAAAGGCAAAAGATATCTTCTATAAATATTTGCCATTTTTATTTTTCATTTTTCCTTTTCCTTGTTTTTGTTTCGAATAATAGCAACATGGATTTGCTATGTAATAATTCAATCCATGGCCACCACTAGTTCTTCAGTCAGCCTTCACGCAAGCTATTTTCACACCTTTCTTCGGATAAATCTAGACTCTTTGAAACTTTTTCACTTCTTTCTTCTTTGCAAATACCAATATGCATCCTTATAATATAAATTTATAATTAATCTAGGAATTGTGAAGATCTTGACTTAGTTTCTTATCAACAAAGGACCTAATTTTCTTAAAAATTACAGATTTTCCTGAACAAACTCTAATTATTAAATTATCGCACATATGGCACGATTAGGATATCAAGGTTGGATCACCCTTTATTCTCTCAATATGGGGCGCTGCAGCTTATATGACTCCAAGTGTTTGACAATTCAGCAACCATCAGAACTCCAGCTGTTATTCCTTGATTCGTGTAAAAGGAAAGTGCACAACCATCAAAAACTATAGAAGAGTTCAAATCATCCTCGTGTTCCCTACTACATAATGTAACTGTGAGCTAACCAAGAGTCTAACAAGTTAACTTCAGGTTGTGTATTTTATTATTACTATTCTTTCTGAAAGCGAAGGATGGAGATATTATTAACAAGCTTGTTATTTATATATAGATGAGGATCTCCTCCGTTATCAGAGCTTCCTTCTTATGTCCCTTGCACAGACACACCAGTAAAACCACAAAAAAATTAGGACAGGAATCTATAGCCTGCTTTACTGCCCTGCCAAACATTAAAATCATATGAAGGCTCCAACAATTCTTTAATTGACATTTGAAACACACACTATAATGAATAATGACTAATTCAACTGAAATCTTTCTACCCATTATATTGAAAGTATTAGCAGAAATTCTCTTTATTCTTCCCACATCATACTTCCCTCTAGTTTCGGTGACAGAAAATCCATGCATTTTCTGAATAATCTTGAAAAGTTTCTTCTATAATGTATGGCACCTAAATCTAATGTAAAGAAATAAATTTATCTATTCTTAACGTATTACCAACAAGTCTTGAAGTTAAAAACACAATAGGATAAAGTTGAATTCAAACACTATCTACATGACATAATTAAATAGCAGTGATGATCTTCAGCTCGACCAGAAATGCGTTAAATAGTTTTCCCGAGATGTAACTAACATGGCATCTAAAAGTTAAAAAGAAATCCTTAAAATAATCAATAGACATGTTTGCAGAGCTAGTATTCTAGTGAAAAGGAATGCCCTACCGTCCTCTCATACCATATACACGGTCTCTCATTAAAAAGGAATGGCTGTTAAAGATGATAAGCACTCATGCACACTTTTAGGAGGTGTTTAATTATGGATTTTTTTGTGTTTCAGATTTCTTTATTGATGGTATAAGAAATCTGTCTCCTTCTCCCCCAATTTAGTTTGATATTAAAAAAAAAAAAACAGAAAAAGAAAAAGAAAAAGTACACTCTCTTCATGTGAAATATTTGGTTATTTTAAAAAAAAAAATCATAACACTCACCATTTTCATACCCAAAAAAGAAAAAAAAACACCAAACGCACATCAGATTGTTAACGGAAAAGAAATAAAAGATAACATAAGAATCTTATTTCAATGAACTTCACGAGGAGCTTGCCCTTCGAGACTTTTTGTAACTTCATAAGGGAAGCGCCCAACCAAACTCCAGGTAAAAACCGGAACCAAAATCTAAAAATGCTAAGCAACCAAACTCTTTCTTGACTAGTATGGGACAAGAGCCCAACCCCAATCGACCTTACACAGGCCAGCTGCCCCTTTTACAATTATTTGAAGGCTCAACTAATATTAAACTTTTTTATTTACTTTTTATCCAACAGGTAATAGGCAAAGTGCCTGATAAATTTCTTAACACTAGGTTAAAAGCTGTTTGTTATGGAGTGATTCAACCTAGAAGTACGCACATATTTGATTTACTTCACCTACACTTTTGACCCACTTGGGTAATAGTCCCAATACCAATATTAATGCCTAATATTAATCCAACGAATGCCGAGTCCACTAACCCACCGACAGACAAATAACCCCCAAAGCATAATGGGGCAACCCCAACAACAGCCAATGGGTTCCGCAGTCTGCCATTCCACGGCTAGGTTTAACCTGACCTGACTTTGGGAGGGTGCAAGTTTTAGGAACCTGAAAGTTCCAATTTAATCGGAGATTGGGTGAGAGAGCGATCTACCCGCTAAGAATTAAACACCTGGCTGCGGCCAGAGATGTGCCTGAAAGAAGGAAACCGGGAACAAGAAGACAACCAGCCGATCGCCATTCGCTGCAATCCATACAGGTCTCAGAAAAGACAATGCAATAGATAACAACGCCTACAAAATATTTGCGCAGTAATCGCACTTTTTAAGATACCAAGAATTCAGACTATTCATAGAACCGCAAAAAAAGCAACAGAGGAAAGATTTCCGACTTAACGGGGCGAAACGCGTGTTCAGCAGCAAACAAAGCAACCGCAAATATATGTAAAAGGTATTTTAGTATTTTAATGCGAATTAAGACAAAAAAATTTTAAACTTTCGGTTGTACTTACCCGAAACGAAGATGGGTCGAGAGGAACTATTCTTGACAAGCTTAGTTCTTTCCTTTCCCTTTCTGGTCCGAATGCCGACCGCCGTCGCCATAGCAGAGTTGCAGGCGGCCATCAAGACCAGCGGGGAATTGGTGATGATGATTCTCCACAGGTGCAGCGTTGGAAGCTGCTGCAGCCCCGATGAAGAAGGGTGTATTTGATCCGTCAACAGAAGACAACCTCTGAACGTGAGGTAACAGAGACGGCGAATTGGACTGAAGGGTCCCCCTATTAAAACCAGCAATGCCGGAAGAAATGGTGAAGTTTAGGTTGTAGTCGCCCGCGCCGCCACCTGCGGCAGTAGCAACCGGGATTAGATGATCTGGGACGAAAGAGAAGTGCTGCAACTCTGGATTGTGGTGATCTCCCGACACAGTGAAGGGCGAAATCGTCAAGGACTGTGCCAGAGAGTTACCCAACTGGAATTGGTGATTTCTGGATGACGAGGAAGGAAGTAATCCCGGGGAAAAGTAGTCAATCGGAGCTGAAGACCATTGTGAGGTCGGTTTATGGAAAAAAATTAGCTTCCTCGACGCCCAGATTTTGCCGAGATGATCCATTTTTAGAACTGTTGATGTTGTTTATGCCAGCAGTAAGCAGCTCGGTGAAGGAACTTTGGGAAATGGGATTCACATTGGGGTCACTCTCCTTCTCTTTCTCCTTCTCTACCTTTCTTTCCCTTGCTCTTTCTCTGGCTTTTAAGCGGCTTTCGGACCTCGAAAGAGATAAACCAGAGCCCTTACTCGTCTCGGAAGTGCTACTACAAGCAGATCTAGACAAAGAAATATTCTGCTGTTGCTGCTGATAGTTTGGGTCCCCATCTAATTCCGCGTCTGCTGAATCGAATCCCTGCTGATCAGTCCCTGCACTTGACCTCTTCTCGTCACTGAATTGCTTAGGCGTGTCGGGGAACGAAGTATTGATGGAAGGAAGCTCTTCGATGGACTTAGTGGCTGCTTTAAGCAACCACTCTAAGGCCTTGCTGGGCTGGTCGTAGCCAAGACGATCTTGGAGATCGTAGAACTGAATAGCTGTGGGGACCGAGAGGCGAACTCTGCGGTCCCGAAGCCCTTTCGAGGTCCAGACCTTGCTGTGTCGGTCTTTGCCCCCGGATGCCCTTGAAACCCTAACAATCCGTGACGAAGACCACCCACAAAGCCCACCAAAACCACCGACTCCACCGGCGCTACTTCCTCCCCTCCGCTTGACTTCTCCGTCTTCCTCATCATCTGGGTATTTTTCTTCCCCTTTTGCCCCTATCTTGTTCCCATCCCCTCTACCGTTGCCGATCCTTGGAAACTTGTTTCCATGCGTTTGAATATCATCCACCTCCATAACACTTTCATACCTTTTCTTAACAGAACTAAAAATCAAGCCCCCTTTCACCGTGGCCTCTTTCTTATCCTCCCAGATTTAGAGAGAGGAAGAGCTTAGAGAGAGAATGGGGGTCCTAAAGCGGAATCTAAATTAGGGTTTGGAGAGAGAGAAACTAGTCATGCCCGTACACTTATGGGGTGAGGCGGGGTCTGTATGTGTGGTGGGTCTCCTTCGCATTGATGATGATCATTCAGTGTACTGTGGCTTTTGTATTGATATATATGCATAGGTATCTCTATAAAGAGCCTTTTTTCCGCTTCGATATGTCATGTTCATTCGCAGGCCGGAAAAATGCCAGTGAGGCTCCGTCGAAGCTTTTGGCAGTGCTATCAAAAGCAAAGGCACAGCCTCTGAATCTTCTCAGACTCTCTCAGCCTGTCAAGGAAAAACCATAAAAAAAAAAGGAAAAAAACATTAACACAAAAAATAAATAAATAAAATAAATAAAGCATCAGAAGACGTACGTTGCTTTTACACTAGAGTACCCATTATTACCAGTAAGCATACGGTGGTTGTTACACAAATCTGACCTTGTTATGAGTAATACCATTTAGTACATGCATAAAATGCATCTATCATCACAGACCTAACACAAACCTCTTTATAAAGAAGATAAGGTTTTAGGAAAAGCAACGTGAAAGGTCTACTTCGTTGTGCCTTTCTATCACTTACCTTTGTTCGAGCTTTCTTTGTTTTCAAAATCTAGCTGGCGGTTGATGAAAAAGCAATCCTGCAGTAATTGCTTACAATTCTCCGATCAGCCTTTAACCTTCGTATTAAAAGCTCCTCTGACCTGGGAGTTGCAGTAATTACAAACACATTACGACGCTGGTCTAAAGAGATCAGCCATAAACTAACCTACTGCATATATAATGTGTGTGTGTGTATATATATATATATATATGTATATGCATATGTGTGTGTGCGCGCTTTTATAATAATGCCTCTAAGAGAGAGATGAGGCTAATTTTTTACCGAACTGCCTGTTCATAACATGCAATTACACGACAAATTACGGAGCAAAAGCAAACAGATCTACGCATTTCATCTCCCCAATGAAACATCAATTTGGCAAATAAGTCGCTTGCTCGGAATCAACAAATCGGACAAATTTTATACAATGAATGGTTCCATTTGTCAAAAATCGTACTTGGAAGTTTCAAAAAATGAAAAACAGATAAAATTATGTACTTCCCCAGAACTAAAGAACAAGAAGCCCCCTATCTCCATGGAAAGAGCTTCATAGATGGATAGAAGTGTCCGTTCCCTAACTAAGCATCTTCAGTATAGAATGACATTTACACCACAGATAAGAAAATGGGAAGCTTTTAAATTCGTGGTATTACGGAGGCTCGGGTAAATTTTGAAATTAATGGACGATTCAAAGGACAGCAAAACGAAGATGACGCCATCGTGCGCTGACGGATCTGAGATTGTTCAAGAGCAGACAAAGGAAGACCTACTTCGAAATCTGTCACCGAATTTCCTGTGCTGTTGCGCCCTCTCGAGTTTCCGAACTTCAAAGTGAGTCTCTCTCTGTCTAATCACTAAACACGCTCACGCGCAGAGCGATGAGAGAGAACTATATAAAACTGTTTTTTTCCCTCTCTTTGTACTTTCGTTCCCCGAAAGTCATACAAATGTAAATGCATTCCCAAACTTAGGCACGCCAAACCGCCATCAACGGAGCTTGAGTTCACCTGATTCGAGCTGAATTTGGAGAGATATCTCTTGGAGGATGTCTCCAGCCGTAGCTCAGATTTTCTGTTAGAGGAAGAGATGAGCATAACGGTTTTCTTTTCGCCGGATGTTCTCAGAAATCTGAAGCAGATTCAAATCAGAGAGCGTGCAGTGCATATGGAGAGAGGAGAAGAAGAAGAAGAAGAAGAAGAGAAGAAGAAGAAGAAGCTCGGGATCAATACCCTAATCCTTGGCTTCCCCCGTTCGAGCAAACCACCGGGCTTATCGGTGAAAAACAGACACGGCGCCGTGCCGCCATTAAAAGTGGTTTTACCAATTCACTCCCTTTTTCTTTTATCCTTTTACCAACTAGATTTAGAAAATTACACTTTCACCCCCTATACTTCTAAAACTAACACTTTGACCTTTTGTACTTAGCGCAGAAGTGCAAAGGTTCTCCATCCAGAATACTGGTATCACCGCCAGAAAATGGCATGAAGACTACCCCCAACCTTTTCCATCAATTTTACATATTTGCCTTTGCAGAAAATTACACTTTCATCCCATGGCTCAGTAATAAAATTGACACTCCGTCAATTTTTAATAATTGCATTAAAAATTGGCTCTTATGGAAGTTTGGTTTACGTAAAAATGTGGCCTTTTGCGAGAGAAAATTTCTAAATTAAAATTATCATGAACATGACTTTCTGGGTTTTTCTAATTCAATTATTTCTTTTACCATATCATATGTCAATTTAAAGAAACTGACTTTTTTGCCCAATAAAAACCTTAGAAATTACAAAGGAATGAGAGAAAAAACTGAGCTATGCATGGGGTATTAAATGATGTACTTGATATTAGGGATTGAATAAGTAGTTATTGTTTTAATAATTGTTAGATCAGTATTAAATAATAATTTTTAATACTTATTAAGAGTTATATTAATCGCTTCCCTTAGAAAATGTCCAGCATCTTTTTGAAATGGAAAGCTAAAGAACAAAAATTG